TCCAAGGATATCCAATGATCGAATAGGAGTTCCATGCTTTTTGTGTTGGCCTTGCTGGATGTCCAATCTCCTCTCTCTTCTCATCGATGATGAATGCTGGTGATCCTACGGAGTACATAGCAATGTAAGTACTGTAGTTACTGTATGGTCGGAGGAGTATCGTATCTGATCCCTGGCTATCACACTCAGACCTTTTGAAGCCCCCAGACGTCCACGCTGGAGCCGTCGATCTTCAACAACATGGAAGTTCCTTACTCCCTCCTTTGCAACGGCAAGTCTGGAAGCAAGCAACAACTTTACAACGGTTTCTGAGCTATGGCGTAAGCGATATACGCGATACAAACTAACGATTTGAGCAAGCAATGACTTGTTCTGATTATGCTGGCACAGAGACAGTGCTGTAAACGCAATTTACTCCGAGGCTAGCAATATAGCTCTAATCAAGGCCAACGCCTGGTCCAACACATGGTACTCGAAGATTCCTAGCTTACGGGACGAGCAATGCACGAACCACTTCTTCCAGGGTCGAACTGGCAAACAAGCCCATGGGCTCGGTAATGACGCTGTGTGCAAGCGTGACTGTGTCGAACTGGCTGGTCTATGGCTGCTTCTTTCTGAACTGGCTGAATGTGCAAATGCAAACATGTTCGACTGTTCGACTGTTCGACTTATACTGATCGGGAGAGTGTAAGGATCCATCAATATCTCTAACGTCACTCAGAGTCCTCCCAGCCTATCTCATGTATGGACAGAATTACCGACATGTCAAGACGACAATCATGCCCCTGCCCAACGGCTACTCGTGAAAGTGGGGGCTATCGTCCTCAATCAAGACGAAACCTGAACAACTTCAATCGCCGAGGTTTAGCTTCAGGCTTTCTCACATTGATGAGTACCGTCTATGAAGGACATCACATCTTGCGAATCATTGCATCTATCTACACCCTGGCAAGTGTCTGATCACTCTGATACATGCACAGCATAGCAACATTCAATTGTAAATCAATCTCCTACCGAGCTGCACCCCAGATGACCACTGCTCAGGGCCCCGGCTTCTGCTCCACTTTGAATGGATTCACTTTTGATTATTTGCCTTCTGAAAAGCAAACTTTTTGATTACCACTAACCCATTCATAGTCAACAATTGGGAACGAAGTCCATTCTCACAGCAGGACTCCTTGCTTTGGTAAAGGCCAGCGACATTACTATACTATTTATTGTATTTCTCAATGTCGTTCTTCAATCAATCAGTTAGGCATCAACACCTTATTCCCAAGATAGAGTCTCCATAGTGAGAAATATGAATCCCACAAGAGCAAAGATCAGCCCTTGTACCAATAAACTACCGAACTGGTGCTCCGTACCCCCCGGCTCTCTTTCGGTCACCATCTGCCTCGCCAATACAGGCCACCCGTTGATTCCGGGCCAGAGAGAGAAACGTGCAAACACAGTAACGCAAGCATAATCCATTTCTGTGATGATCTTGTCCTCTTCCAATGCTAACTAGAACGTTGGCGCTGGATCCCAACACCAAACAAAGCGCGACTACCTCATGGCGTTATCGATGGCCTAACAAACATGCCTGGGAGTAATTACGAAAACAAGACTTGTCGAACCCAGATACTGATTCAACGTGTTGCTTCTAGGAACTACTATCATTAAACTTTGCCCCAACCGCTACCGGTTCAGTAGTTGAGGCGCGGCCCGTTTCGACCTTGATGAACAAAGCAGCTCAGAGTCTATGAGACGCCTTAAGTGCTCTCCGTCATCGGCCTTGTCATGTTTGCTCTCAGCTCTGCTCCTGTTCAGATTGACATTGTCAATGTGGCGTTCTCTTTGGAAGCAAACGGTATTCAAGACATAATCCTTCTGTCTGGCTAGTACTTCCTTGCTGCATTGGGTCTTGGGCTTAACCGAGTTCAACGCCCCAAGGGTTTATGGCGCCGATAGGATGGTTCGTTCCTGCAAATCCCCCGTGGCTCACACGCTAAGACGGCGCCGCGTTACCACATGAAACATGCGGCTTCATTGCCGGGTGATGGAGAGTTCAGTCAGAAACGTGGGCCAACATGGACTCTGATTCTACGTTGTTATACATACGGAGCATGTATTCGAGTACTTACTGGTGAACCCATGCAGGCTAGGCAGGCCAAATCCCTTCAGTGGGAGGAGCGGGTTCAAGGCTGTTGGATTTCGATTTAGCGTTCTACTTTACCATTGGCTTGACGCACATTGACAGGAGTTGTTTCTTACGTAACCTCCAGGAAGAAGGATTCTCGTCATACACGACGAGAATAGACATACATATTCGATCAATTTAAAGAACGGTTTGGAAGAATAATGGTGACCACCTCCTCCAGAATATGTTGGTCAGTCACAACGCTTCGTCTTCTCAAGTTTCACATGGTTTTGCTCGTATGTCAAGAACCAAGCCACGCCGCAGAAAAAGCAAAGCGAAGCCGGTAATCTTTCCAGAGCTGAGTTTCGTCACCTTTGCCAGATCTTTCCGGCTTTGCAAAAGGCCTCTAAAACCATGGAAATGATGATACTGGTTCGCTAACCGTGACACATCATGAGCTCAACACAAAGCTCTGAGTTACTGCTCTGGTCCATCACGGTGAATCCGAACGCAACAGTAGTAATGGCACTTCTGAATGTATTTAGCTGCATAAAGAATCGGCCACGTACCCAAAAACCAAAATACAAGTAAGGTGCATATGCATTGTACTCTGGTTCTGAAGTCTCAACGCAGCCAAAGACGGATGGCACTTCACGGATACGTTCCTTGGTGCTCTACCGATCGTGTCAGCCGGTCGTTACATACTACGTATGCAAGATAATTGGCAAGTGGTGCCTTGCAAAGAAGTTCGTTCATGTGACAATTTAATCTTTATTTGACTTTCGGTCTTATGGGCGTGATATGATACGACTCGGAGAAAAAGCAACTTGACATGGTCCACGTACCTCGGGGCACGGATGCAATCAAGCGTTGAACAGCGGAGAAAGAAGCAGCTCAATTAACTTGATACATGGTGTCTCCTACATGCTCAACATGGGTTATGTATCCAGTTTAGCAGCCGTAGACTAATGTTCACGGATATCACAGCTCACAATTCATAAGTCCATGATCCATATGAATATACAGGAAACAACTCACCGACATACTCGTCAAAACTGCATCATTATCGTATGGTCATCAAACTTTCTAACGATACCTATGCAACAAGCTGGCTACGCTTTGTTGTCTGGGACCCTTAAACCGATGCTCCTAGGAAGAACTGCTCCATGTACCAGACTGAACTCTTAGAGATAGGATCTTGTTAAGGCTCAAGGTTCCTGAAATATTTTCCTTGATCTCATAGAACTCACTACTCAACAACTACTTGCAAATATCTCATCAGTGCATAGAGCAACGAGTGGGTACATGTCCCACACATATCATCGATATACTACTCATGAGTTTATAAAGCAAACTAACGAGGTGGTAAGTACAGTTGCTTCCCTATTTCCTCTATACCTTTAACAACTGAGGATAGGCAGGAGAAGCAGGTAGTTGTTATCCACACTGGAAAGTGGCGAGTTATATCAAATATATTATATCACGTGGGGGGTGCTTATACAAGCTTATTAGATGTGCCCGTTGATGCCTCGCAGCAATATTTCGTGCAACCATAGCTGCAGCTAGTAATGCAGTCTTTCTCGGGTAGCCTCCTGGTTTTCCGAAGATTGCGAGTCGACGAGGCGTGGGTTGAAGAATGCAGTCATAACAAATGCTATTATAAATAGTCCATTACCTAGAAACATTACCTAGAAAGCGATTAATATGGCACCCATTCTACTTCTTGTGCAAAAACCTTTGAAACGTCGGACGTTTTCCTCTACGCCTCGCATGGAATATAGGAGTGAATCCGTAAACTGGCTGCGTTGATGGGAACCGTGGTAAAATGGCTACCATGCTTGAGACATCACACCGTTGCCAATTCGAGCTGATTACAACCACATAGAGCGATAGTGTGGTGTAACCTGCTTTGCATCATGCGGTGTCGCCAAACAATGCGGTGGTACAGTATAATATTTTGTATCGCATAGTAAAAGCCATGCTGGAGATCACGGTTTTGTCTATGTTCTTTCTCCGATAGTTGCTTGTGGCAATCAAATAATCCGTTATGGACGGTTAGTCTGCTCAAAAGTAGCTGACAATTGAACGAGATAGCTGTTTCTATGGGGTTTGAGAAGCCTATGGGTGACAGCACAATGGTTATGAGGAAAACATGTATGTCAATCCATAATGAAGTCAGTTCGGAACTGTATAATAAGCCTTTTAATGGCTATCAGTTACTTCTATGGTAGCCACAAACTACGTTAAACATATAAACTAATATTGTCCATGAGTTTCATTCTTTGTGCCTAGTTTTTGCTGTTCCTATCACCTGCAGTCTTGAATAGGTCATACTCTTTATACGCAATTGCTGTCGCGTCGTATGCAATGCTGCAAGAGCCGGCAATTATTCTGATATCTAGGGTCTCTCTGATATATTTCCTCACGATTCTAATATCCTTTTCTGCCTTGCAGGAGTATTCTCCATCTTTCGGAAAGCTGTTTTCGATGTACCGCCTGGCTTGATCAGATTAGTGTAACACAAACTTCGTGATACTCCTCCATGTCACTGGATAATGATTGTAGTTGGCAAGGATAGTGTGTTTCTGTCCTTAAAAAAGACAAAACAATAACGTGTCTTGTTTAAGTTAAGCACTATAGTTTAGGGAAGGGTTAAGTTATAGCTCGAAGGACGACTGAAGAGTGACGATGTGGTGTTTAAGCTTCACGGACGTTCGACTGAGCGTACCCTAGACAACAACGACTTCAGTTGTGCAATCACAAGCAATATGCTGAATGATCATACCTTACCCTCACTTTTACAGTGCAAATCAGCGCCGATTCTGTGATATCCATTTTCCCGCATTGAGTGCCTCGGTAATTCTCACCATCATCACTCGTGCCTGTTGTCATCGAAGGGCGTAGGCATCATGTGACGTAACTGGCAACTGTAGATAATAGGTAGATATGTATTCATTGCAGAAGAGGTATTGCAAACACCTAACACTACTGCACTCATATCAATACAAGATCAAAACTTCTTTACAATACACAAAGAAATTACAATCGCGCCAAACGCCCAGAATGTCACCAGGAGCAATCTCGCCGCTTAGTAAAGTCAAAGCCCTCACTTTCGACGTCTTCGGCACTGTCGTCAACTGGCGCTCATCTGTAACCGAGGAACTCACCCTCCGGGCTTATCGCAAGACTTCCTCCGATCTGGATCCAGCTGTCAAAACTCGTGTTCAGAAGCTCAACGAAGAGGACTGGGGCCGCTTCGCACAGGAGTGGAGGAACTCATATGGGAAGTTCACAAGAGGCTTTGACCCGGAAAAACACACTTGGAAGACTATTGATCAGCATCACCACGACAGTCTAGTCGAGCTTCTCAAGGCATGGGATCTAGCTGATCTATACAGCCCAACTGAGATCGAATCCCTGAGTCTCGTCTGGCATCGCTTGACACCATGGGATGACTCCTCAGATGGTATTCATAAGCTTGGTAAAACATACAAAACCAGCACCTTGTCCAATGGCAATGTCTCGCTACTCAGAGACCTGAACGATTTTGGAAACCTAGGCTTTCAGGTTCTCCTCTCGGGAGAGAAGTTCAGGGCTTACAAGCCAAACCCGACCGTATACTCTGGTGCTGTGCGCGAGCTGGGACTGGAGCCCCATGAGGTATCTATGGTTGCAGCGCACCTCAACGATCTAGAGGCAGCGAGAGCCTGTGGTTTGAGAACCGTCTATGTCGAACGCCCCCAAGAAGAAGCCTGGGACAAGGAGGACGAAAGGTACCAGAAGGCCAAAGAATGGGTCGATATCTGGATCACGGAGGACGATCAAGGGTTTCTGGCTTTGGCTCAGAGACTTAAGGAGCTGGCATGAGATAGTTGCAAAGTTTCGAGCAGCTGGTGTTGCTGTTATTGGTCATTCAAGTGCCAAGTAGCATGAATTCGGAGTTGCCTCGTTCTCGACCCAGAGCCACTTGGATCATTACATAACATCGTTGTTCTATCATTAGTATCATAGAAGCTTTCATCTAAGCTATTTGGAGCCATATGACCTCACGTGCATTGACTCCCAATTCGGACTTCATCCACAAGACTTCTGTTTCTAGTAATAGCATGAGATTTATTTGATCAGCGTATATGAACGAGGGTGATCGTTAGGTCCCTGCTTATAGTCATACGATCCGAGTACATCACACAAACGCCGATCGTCAGAACCTGCCAGGGCACGAACGCAATTCGATACAGGTGACACTCGAACAACCTCACGATCATGAAGCTGGTGTTTTCGGCTCTAGCCAATTCTGTATACGTGATCTCAGCCGCCTAGCTGAACCCGAGCAAGCGAGAAATACGTGGCCCAGTCTGCATCTATCTCTAGAAAGCGCTGGAACTGAACTTTTGGCCATTGGGATAAGCAGTTTTACGGCACATCCGATTGAAGCGAGGTGGCAGAGAGGCCAAAAGCGTACAAGTGAGTCTGCCATTAAACTAGACACGCCCTATTGAAACCTGGTTTTGCGGCTCTTGTAGTACGAGCATATAGTCTATGTTAGTATTCAATCCCAGGCAGAGTTTGTCTCTGAACGGCTCAACCCTGCCAATATCCAACCATCTTCGCTTGGTAAATCCCGCCCGCCCGCGAAGATGGGTGTGAGATTGTTCTCACATCGAATGAACCTGTAACCCAGATACCACAGCTTGTGACTGGTTGGGCTTAACGGATCGAACAGCCGTAAGTTAGTCGGTCTCATTTACAATGTACCAGAGAGCAACAAGAAGAGGAGCATCCGGCGGCAAAGCACAGGGCCAACACAACAGGGCAAATGATATCCGGTCTTGGGTTTGATATCCACCAAGGCTATCGTTCAGATGCCAATGATATCCAATATTCGGTTGGCGACGAGCTGCACCTACAGAAAGTCTGGGGAAACGTTGATACTACCCCATAGATGACAACGGCCCGACAACATACGAGTTTCCCTCGCAAGTCAAGCCTGTTAAACTAGGCTTGTTGGGTTTTTCATGGCGTTTTCGGATCGAAATAGAGACTGGGAAATTATCCAACTGTGTGATCGGAAAAATGTATCCATGGGGTGTCAATCAGTCCTACACGAGTAGGGTGTGCAAAATCCGTGATGGCTTCAAGGGCCGAGAGCCATGAGCTAAGATGGAGCTAGGAGGAGAGTAAACGAGGAAGCCATCGAGCCGTGCCCGAAACATGAGAACTGATGTATCTGGAAATAAGTTTCTGTGTTAGTTTCTTTTCTTATTTGATCCTGTCGACTTTATAATAAGAGCTTTTGAACTGGAATTGGTGAGCTACGTAGCTATCGAGACGCTTACAGAAGCTTTCGGCTGGCACGTTTAGGGTGTGGGGTAGATTGGTCTTGGAGTGTTTGGCGCACCAAGATAGCCAATCCAGTCGTGTTATTGTTTAATTGAACGTTGGCCACATTGAGAGAAGTTCGATAGTGGCAAAACTTTGGCAACTCTAACGAAGCTTCGCGTGATATGGAACACCATATCACGGTGGTATACTTTGAGGTCAATGCTGTCAGCAAGCTCAACTGCTTCACGCGCATCCTCTTTCAGGAAAATGCAGTGAGATTGATACTGTAAGGTGAGTGCAGATATCACTTCCAAGAGGTGACGGACTCGTTCCGAGCCAACGGAACAAGCATCATGTCTTTAGAGATTGCTGAGGCTCATAAGCCCCTGAATGTCCCAGCTGCCATGCCATGCAGTGGACCTAGTTGTCGCCTCTGTGAAAACTGAACACGAGCAGGGTCCCTGACTGGCGTGACGAGGTAAGATAAACGCCGGTCCCGCGGACGCTTAAATTCCCAGAGACCATAAGTGGCGGCGCCGCTTCTCGATTCTTGTGTTAGTATCAGGTGTCCAGACTCGAATGGATCTATCCATCAAATCGCGTATTTGAGTGAGTGACTGATGATGCTCTGGCACCGTCATCTCCGATTTGTCGTATGCGCAGGTAGGCTGTAGTCCGAAGCTTGTCTTTGTCCGTCTCCAGCATGAAAGTCCGGTAAAAAAGCAGGGTCTCTATGGAATACCGAGAAGGGTGAAATATTGAACCCATGTATGTAGCATTTGACATGGGCATGCTGCTCTAGAAGGGCAGGCAGTCATGTTTCGGAAGATTGGAAGATTACGTGGTGGACTGACTAGCTGATGCCAAGAGGATGCAGTGAGTATTGGGGTTACCTGATTTGTAGTGAAAAGGGATTTGCTGTTTGTCCGCTTGCTTGTTTGCTATCTGAACAGTGGAAAACATGATGTTGATGCTATCGTCAAAGGCCACAAAAGCAAATAATGTTTTGCCGTGTCTTACTACGTAAAGCCGTGGAAACCGTTAGCGGGAAGAAATAAAAAGCAAAGATATGAGCAACGTTCTTGGCGTTGATTTTGGCGCATCAAAGACTCGGTCGGCCAATCTGGTCTAGATGTTAGGGTCCTCTACGGAGTAACTTAGTTATTATTGATAAGCCTTTGTGAGAACTGAAATCGCCGAAACGCATTCGTTAATTATATTTCAGCACAACAGACCTGATTCCGTCTTGTCCTCTCCCGAGGCTGGTCCACTCGTCTGGTGCCCAACCAGCTCGACTCTCCAAATCCAACCTCTTCTCTTTCCTCCTCTCTCCAACCTCAGAATTTCGGTGGAGAATTAAAAGCTTGCCGATGAGTGAGATCAGCAAGTGACAGGGGTATAAATACCCCAGAGCAGACGGGACGCAACGCACAACAGCCAGAGGCGTTACTCGCTGTGCCTTGTAGGAGCGTGGAATCCCGTCCTAGTACTCCGTACAGTAGCGCCGGGTCCCTTGAAAGAACCCGAAAGGAAAGGACGGTCAATGCCGGTCACTTGTCACTGGGAGTTCGACAAGCGCGGCTCTGGAAATGCTTGGGGCTTGGTGCTCTGGCGATGCTTGTTTCTCTCAAGGCATGGCTGGGCGATTAGTGGAGATGTAATGTGCATATTTTGACTGGCAGAGAGCATGTGTTTATAAAATGGAAGGAAATGTATCATTGTCGGTACACAGGTAGCTCAGATTACTTGTCGGGAACAGTACCTAGTGGAGGTAATTTCATCAGTTTTGCTACCATGGAAGAAGCTCCCTGGAAAGAAACGAGAGCTTTGATGGATGCTGGGAGCTCGGAGCTGGGAGCGGCTTCCGCACAGGCCACCACCTTTTCTCCAAGGCTGGTCGACCACTCTTTAAATACGACTATTCCTCCATGGGACTGGACTTCCCGGGGAGACAAGGACCCTGTCCCTCTGAACACAACCACACCACTTGCCCGTCCTGCGACCGCTTGGCCTGTGTGTGGGCTGGGCTGCAGCAGCATGCAGACGACCACAGAATAACAAGGATGCTGATTTGAGAGACAGAACAAAAGAGAACTGGAAGAAAGGAATATGAAGCCATTGTGAAAAGAGAAGGTAGTCCGGGAAACCGTTTCCAGCTTTCTTTCTTTCTTTCTCGATTGATTGCCAAATGACGGCCGATGAATACGACCAACTGCAACTTGTTGGATCAATCAAATCCTTCATCACAAATCTCAGGTGGAAGCTCCAACAAAAAGGTGCATTGTCAACGCATCTACACCATACGCACACTGATCTTGCAAAAGTCTTGAGTAGAATTACGACAGTGACAACAAATCCTTTAATTCCCCACTCAAACCACTAAAGGCACAGGCAACGCATGTTTCTTGTCCTAGCCAGGTCAAGTTCATGTTGGTTCTTTCAGCTAAGCTACTGTCACAACCCAGCAACACCGCATAACAGCACGGAACAGTCTTCTAATTCACTCCATTTCTACAGTACGAGCAACGGACCAAGACCAAACCTGGTAAAGCTGCCTAGATCCGGTCGAGTCGTCCGCCCGCCGCGACACAACCGAGCCGTGACCCGGGCTCCCGGGTGCCTGCCGATGAATAACTACTTTATAGTACTGTTAACTCCAAATAATAGCCGCAACAGAGGTCACATCACTGACGAAGGTGGCACTCAATCATGTACCTGGCAGAAGGGCAAGTCTTTCATACAACCTAAAACGGCCCGGATTGATAAGTAGGTACTTGGAGAAATCGACAATACCTACCCATCTGGGTTTGGGTTCCGAACATCCTTGAGTTTAAGCATGATCAAGAAACCGCATTGTTGCAGCAGACAAAGAGAGTCCCAGGCGCTTTCATGTTACAGCTTTCCAACTAATCGATAGGTACGGCAGACAACAAAATGAATATTTCTGGGTGTTGCTGGGTATAAACACCACAAGGTGAGGGAAATGGAGTCGCTCAACAGCGGGTTTTGTGACCAGGGCATGCCCCTCGTCCACCGCTTCGCCATTCCGGCTTCATCCCTCGCCTATCAGGAGCCTAGCACAGCACCCTCGCTCTCCCATTTCTCGGGGCACCCACCGAACCGATATCCTACCCATGAATGGCGAGGGCAGCTCCATTTCGTGGGACTTGGGTAACTCGTGGTATTCGCCAAGCTGCGTGTCTGCAGGGGAATTTCTCGTCAATTGATCCACGGCGACGAATCCCCTATTTTGCTGTTCTTGACGGGTTATGTAGCAATTGAAGGACAGGATTAGACTGGAGTAATGAGATAGGCATCTTTGATCTTGGGTGTGCTTCTGCATTCCCCATCCACGCTAGGTAGGTTTATCCGTAAACGTGCACAGTCGAAAAGGGAGTACCTCTGGTCAATGTAAATCCTCCACGCAAGGTACCAGACCGTCTGCATGGTGAAGTGGCTTGTCTGGTTGCTGATCCCCCCTTAAAGAACCTAGAGAACCCCTCCAAGGACCTCTAGCCTCTCCTCTGGGTCCTAGGAAGAGAGTACCGCTGCCGCGTCTCCATCGCATGGATACCTCTCACCCAGGTATTTGGTAAAACCTGGCGCCCCGCCTCAATTGCAACCTGGGAGTCTAGGGCACCCACCTTCAAGGGCCTGCTAGCACTGAGTGAAAGAACCACTATGTTCAAGCATTTGGGTAAGGTTGGGAGAGGGAGAGAGAGAGAGAGAGAGAGAGAGAGAAAAAAAGACAAGAGAAAAAAAAAAGGGTTCTCCACCTAAGGTAAGCTTGACTGGAGGTGGGCTGGGGTGGGCTTTCGATAGTCTCCCAGTCCCAATTCAACAGCCCAAGAGCAAGCCAACTTCCTCCATTTGCCCTCCAGTCCAGTAGTAACTCACCTTCCATACCTCCACTACCTACCTACCTTTTACCTTACCTTAGCAGTCAGTGTCCAAGCAGCTCCACGTCTACGCCTCGACCTAGACCTAGACCAAACATCTACCTCTCTTGTCCACTCCCAACTCTTTTTTTGGACCGACATTGACACTACATACTCACAACAGACTGTTATTACCAGACCCGACCAGTCCAGTGCGGTCCTTTTTCGCCACTGGCGCTTGTTCGTCGACGTCTGTTGCTGCCTTGCCGCGCCCTGCCTCGTGTCTTTGAGCCTTGCATTCATCGCTACGCATTGATTTGCCTTGCACTGCCCTCGACCCTCCGCCCTCCCAGCTGCCTCGTTTTGACGCCTTGACGCCTTGACGCCCACCGCCGCCGCTACAAGTCAGTACATACATACCTATAGTACAGTATCCGTACCTACCTGCCTCCATTACGTTTTCTGGTGCTGCTACTGGTACTGCCACTGCCGCCGCTTTCGCTTGGTCACAGCTCTTTGCTCCATCAAGCCACCCCCTCCTCCGTTCATCACCCTTCGTCTCTGTTTTACTACCCGTGAAGACGACCTCGACCTCACAACCTCCAACCACCTTGGATATATCGACACTGCATCTCGTGAGCCTCATTACCGACCACCCCCTCTTTTCTCCACCCTCCCCCTCTCCGGTCCGTCGGTCGCTTGGGTCGTGTTTCTCTCCTTCGAGACCCAATCTCTCTCCTCTTTTATCGACTCTTACCTTTTGTCGATTTACTCGACGTCGCCATCATCATGGCCGGCCGAATGGTGCTATACAAGTTGGTGGTGCTGGGAGACGGTGGCGTGGGAAAGACAGCTCTTACCATTCAGTTATGTTTGCAGCACTTTGTTGAAACTGTAAGTTGGATATGGCAGTTTTGTTTTCCGCTTTATTGATGACATTGAGTTAACACCTTTGTAACAGTACGACCCCACGATCGAGGATTCATACCGAAAGCAGGTTGTCATCGATGGTCAACCTTGCATGCTCGAAGTACTCGATACCGCTGGGCAAGAAGAATATACGGCACTACGAGACCAATGGATTCGTGATGGCGAAGGCTTCGTTCTTGTCTACAGCATCTCATCACGATCCTCTTTCACTCGCATCAAACGATTCCACCATCAGATCCAACGAGTCAAAGAATCGTGCGCTTCATCGCCGTCTTATCCCGGGTCCCCTATCTCCGCTGCAAACCCGCAATTGCCCGTGCCCATTATGCTTGTCGGCAACAAGAGCGACCGAGTCACCGAGAGAGAGGTCTCGACACAAGAAGGTCATGCTCTCGCCCGCGAGCTCGGTTGCGAGTTTGTAGAAGCTTCGGCCAAAAATTGCATCAACGTTGAAAAGGCGTTTTACGATGTTGTTAGGATCCTACGTCGTCAGCGACAACAAGCATCACGCCCCTCGGAAAGATCGAGCGGTCGGACGCGAACAGGCAACGGAGATGCAAGGGGTGGCGATCGAGACGAAAGACACAGAAATAGGAACAAGGACCGAAGCAAGTCCAAGTGTGTGGTATTATGAGTGGATACGTCCCATTACGGATTGGGAATCTATCAGTTAAGAGGAGGAAAATGAGGCGGACGAGTAGATCGATTCGCCAACAACAACAACAGGCCAACGTCAAGAAATACGCATGAGGCGATGCCTCATCTTTCTTGACACACAGGATATGCCCGATGATTTCAAGATGATTGGTGAGATACCGTGGGAAGTACGGAGAAGATAAGATAAGAGACGGGCTTTATTACTTTTCTGCGATTTCTAGATGGCCAATTGCCCAACAACTAGGGCGACATGACGACGCAGCATCGAATGACGAACCAAAGCAGAAGCAGAAGCAGTTCCGCACCGGCGCACGGCGTACGAACAAAAAGAGGCATATTCTTGGGGCGCTAGGTTATCTGTTGGCATTTATACTACTTATTTTTTATTTTTTTTTTGCAAATTTACGATCAAAATTTGAATGGCATTCCTCTGCTACCAGCGACCGGTCAGCTGGTTCTCATCTCTGTGCGGAAACATCTCGACTACTGGATCGAGGGTTTCTATTTACATATGATATCGGGTTAATAGTCAACTTTTGGCAAATAATAACTTGACATGGGGTTCGAATTTTTTACATTAATCAACCCATTACAGAATAGAGCACCGATAAAAGAATGACTATCAATTCATATTCGCATATCGGATTCACATTTTCCTTACTTTCAACCTGTTTTTGGGCGAATTCTCGGGTCATTCCGACGCAGTGTCTAGCCTCATGAAATTCTGAGTCTTGTCCGGTGAGTTGTCTACATTTGATTGAGCAAAGACTGGTAATGACAGTCATGTCATCATCACGAACAGGTGGTATTCGCAAAACCCGAGCTCCTTCTGATAGACAGGCCCGGCCCAGACCCCCGTAAGACAGGTACCAGATGTTTATTCTAAGGGAAAAGAAAGGGACCTAGCAAAGATGCAACGAACGATCTCCCCTCCCTTTGGTGTCTTGTGTCATGTTGGCTCACTCACCAAGGGCATGAAAACGGTGTTAGCCCCGTTAGCATCGGCGTACCTTGGCATCTATCGAGCAGGACTCGGAACCATGTTCCCTGCCGGTGGACTTTATATGCGAGCCTTGAAGTTAAGAAGCACAGAGCTGATCGAAGATGCTATCTCATCTATCACCATTATACGAAAGGCTGCTCTCTGTTGTTGCTCCAACTTTGCTTTAACCGTCCTTGCACCAGACGTGGCATAGCCTTACAACAACTCAAAGACAGAAAGCCAGTAAAGTAGAGATTGATCTGATAGCGAAATTGGTGGGGTTTGCTAGTGTGCAAACGTGGGTGGGTGATATGAATGGGGTGTTGTTGCAGTCGAAAATGGAGGAGTTCGCACTACGCTGCAAGTAGATGTTCAACCACAAAGGTTCCCCATCAGCGATGGAGACGTTGCGGAATACTTCTGTTTACGAGCAGCTACAGTAGCTCATCACTTACTGTCTTTGGCTGGAGGATGGCCGTTGAATGCACTCCCACGCTTCCCACGACTTGTGTGATAGTTATCAAATCATTCACCCCACGTAATTGTCATGAACCATGACACTTGTCAACGACGCCAAAGCGTAAAGCGTGATATGGAAAAAGAAAGAAGGGCTTTATATGCAGCTAGTGATCAACTACTCGGTCACATACTACCTGGTGCAGTGCAGAATAGGTCATTTGAAAGATGGACTGCGTGCCACGTATATTTATCCCTATTGCGGATGTTATTGCAGTGGCGCTTCACATTTTGTTGTGGAAGCATCAATGTCGTAGTTGATACGTAGCTGGAAGTGATGGCTGATGATGATACAGTAAACCCAAGACCCATGACATCGGCTTGATACCTAATTTAGGGCTGGGATTATTAAACACGGTCCCTTTGTTGCTAATATAGACACCTAGTCATTCACCCACAGGAATTCCGATGGTAGAGCTCTAGGCTTTCACAGTGACAGGACAAGTGCCGAACAAAGTTTCTATGCGGCTTTAAGCCTATGCCGATACTACCGGCCTCGTTTTCTCGAAGAATTGCGCAGGGCTTCGGATTAAGATCCATGACTAGGACTCATCCTTGGAGGTGAGCCACAGTAGCATCGCGTCTGGTCTAACGCAGGGAAGCTTATGGCGCTACATTAGGATAAGAGAAGCTATGTATTGCGTTCTTTTTTGCAAATCACGTACTACGTATGTATGTATGTATGTTTGTATGTTTGCATGTACTACCTAGTATGTATGTATAGTATAATATGGACCTGTCGGATAGACTGCTCTCCGAAGCCATTGGGCATCTGCAACCCGTCGCATGTTGGGTCTGGCAGAGACGGCGTAGAGGCGGACGAGGACCGGAATATAGACCGGCGTCATGGCCGGAGGCTACAGCAGACTAGCAGCGGGCGTTTAAGATGACCCTGAACGAAAGGGAGCGAGTGGCAGTTGCGTTCGGCATATTATAATTGTACTTGTCTCGATTAATTGCCCAGTAGTATACATACTAATTAATTGCTTGTGAAAAGGACTCTCAACTGTGATGGTCAGATCAAGTTTATGGGTGCTGGGGATATGCACAGAAGGGGAAGGTCAGCCATCCAAAGGAATCAACCTAACGGAAGTGGGTGAAGAAAACCATCAAACGTAACGTATTCGGGGAACAGGGGATGAGAAATTCCGAGGCTAGGGTTTAAGAGAAGAGACAGAACAAAACCAAGGAGAAGCCCTGGAGGAGACATAAGAGACGGCGTGGTTCAATACTTATTTATGTACTGACAACTTTGGCGAGTAGTAAGGTATGTACTACGTACTTAGGTAGTAACAACAACTTATCAGTACCATAGCATTGACATTCATGACAAGCTCTTGGAGCCAACTCGACCACTTCACAAGTCATGTCAAGAGACATGTTGGCTCTGAACTAGATATCCAGAGACTAGAGTTACGGGTAGACCCGCATTCGCGACGCCTACTTCATTTTAATCCCTAGGGTACAATTGCATTAGGGTAAGGACACGGTGTGTTGAGTATATGAGCTAGAGGGTTGCCCAGGTGTGATAATTATTCATGTACAAGGACATTGGTTGGCGACAGAACGACGGTGAAGATCGCAGATCAGTTACTACTACCTTAGTCAGTTGAATCAGATGTTTCGAAACTCTTCTCCAGTAAACATGTCACTCGTCTAAAAGGACTCGAAACAACTATGCCAAAAACCATTCCAGTATGAAACTCTCCCTTCCCACTCTAGCACGTTTCACCAAGCGAGGAATATTTCCCTCGTATAATTCTTGAGGAGCCTGCCAAAACTGATCCAGACCATTGTGCCAATCGAATTGGCGCTTTCTCCTCAAGTTACAACACAACGGTTGCAATAAAGATGATCAGTCTAGTGGCCAATAGGCAGCGCTGTCTATCGGCCGAGTCGTGGTGATAACCTCACAAGATCGACAGACTAGAAACGACGATCTATGGACTAACAGCCGCCAGATTGTGAGGCCGGCTTTCATTCATGCTGGGTGTGACGAAATCCGTACTCGATGTAATACTACGGTAGTACCAGCAAAAACTGAAAATCCCAATGTGCTGGGAAAGAATGGAATAGATGAGTGACCTACAATACCTCTCATCCCAAGTCTGGTCCTACCTGGAGTGTAAGCTATCGATCTCGTTATCACTAAGTACCCAAGCTACCGAGCCTGGGGCACCATGTTGTGACAACCATGACTAGTCTTGATACGTTCCCATTGTGTTTTGATTTTTGCGCCGACATTAATGTTCCTGTCTCTACAATCATTCGCAGTGTACAGAGATAGGTGATGCGATGTATCTTTGCATCCTTCATATCTCCCATGACAAGAATTTATAGGGCATATTCAAGGTACCACCACATATCAAGGGCTCATCAGGTATAACGCCAATCGTGAATACACAAACATATGGAATCATCTCTATTCAATATTCACATAGAGACTTACGTGGCCTCCAGGCATCCTTCAAGCCGTTGCCATGGTTCCCTTTCCAAGACGCCATAGCTGTTACCAAAGTCCCTCTCCGCTATCCTGACTATAAACATAAAAAAGGGTGCCATATCCCGTGACAATTCTGTGTTTGTCTGTCCAATAAAAGTTGACGTGAAGTGAATATAAGATAAAGAAAATAAAATAAAAGACGGATTTCAGAACATGCCCTTTGACTAACATTCGGCTAGATTCGTGACATATTCGTGAGGAAGTTGTAGTATTTCAGAG